CTTTCCCTAGATCATTTTAACTTGTGTCAGAGTTTGCAATGCCCCTGCTGATGCAAAGAATGGACTTTTGCCCAATCTTGCCCCTTGCACATGGTCCCCCAGGCTCTACTCTGTTCTGTTTGCCCAAATATAAATTTTATTTATTTTTTTTAATAAAACTTGGTTCCTCAGGTGACCGTGTTTGTCACTTTCTCTGTCCTGCTGCTGCTGGTGAGATGTGGCAGCTGGAACCAGGGTCCAACATTTATCTTGAGCTAGCTTTGTAAAGCTAACAAACTGCTTTTTCTTCTTAACTTTCACTTTGCCGTTGTTCTTTTTCACTTGACACTGGCCATGAGTGGTTCCTCAGAAGCTTGGAAAGAGTCTCTACATGGAAGAATGTGGATGTTTCAATGGTATTTGGTTAAACATGGTATTAATATAGTGTAAGTTCAGTTTTTTTTTAATTTATTTTTATTGCCAGAGGGCACTTGTACCTGTCAGAGAAAGAGGCAGAGAGACAGAGAGATGGGAAGAGAGAGAAAGCATAGCCTGGTGGGACATGGTCACTCTGCAATCCCTTCTCCATTTCTCCATCCTGGTGAGATGTTAAGCATTCATGCATACACAATTGGTATATTTTTTTAAGAATTATTTTATTTAACTTTATTTATTTATTTTAATTTTGGCCAGAGAGGGACAGAGCAAGAGTACAAGAGTGAGAGAGAAAGGGAAAGTGAGAAAACAGGCTGCCAGGTCCGGGACTCAAACCATAGTCAGCCATGTGGGATTCCAGCACCCCTAACCACCATGCCACCTGCTGATCCCAACACAACTGGTATTTTTCTTCCTAGCCTCTGGGTCTGAGATTCAAACAGTAAAATTGGCCCCTTCAGTTTAGAAATAATCTCTGTAGGGAACCAACAGTTAGCATAATGGTTATGTCGCTGGACTCCCACGTAGTCGACTGCGGTTCGAGTCCCGGACCCTGTGGTTTAAAACTCATGCCAGGTGCATGTGCGTGAGTGCCCAAGATCCCGAGAGGAGAATGGAGGAGAAGGGATTGCAGCGTGACCATCCCCCGTGGGGGGTGATTTCTCGCTTTCTGTCTCTCTGTTTCTCTCTGTCTGTCTGGCGAGCACACGCACGCGCCTATAGCGAAAACCTCTCCGAAAAAAAAAAAAAAAAGAAAGAAAAAGAAAAGAAAAAGAAAGAAACAATCTCTGTATATTTATCTTTTTTTTTTTTTTTTTAAGGTTTTTGCCATAGGGTGCGTGTACTCACTGGAGAGAGGTAGAGAGAGGAAAAATGCCACAATCACTTTTCCTCTTAGGATTTTGGGTATGCACATTACACACCAGGCATGATTTTTCATCAGGCCCAGGACTCAAATTACTTGTTATTTTTATTATTTTTAATGTTTAAGATAATTGAGTATTTTATAGTATTTTCCATGATAACTTTATGATTCCCATTTAAAATCCACTATTAAAGAATTGATTTAGATGTAGTTTCTAAGTTGAAGCCACAAGAAAAGGTTACTAAGTTTATAAATGGTATTGTAAGTTTGAAGAATTTTAAGTCACCCTATGTATAAGCAAGTCGTTCAATTTACAAGAGTGGCATAAGTTTCATAGAAGATTTTATGCATTTGTCTAACCAATAATCCAAAAAGGTACTTGAACATTTTAATTTGATGAATGCAAATAAAATATTAGGGGAATTCAATTAGCTAGATGGTAATTATCACTTAAAAGCTTGTTGCTAAAAGGCACCAAATACTGGGTTTGGCAAGTGGTGTGGTGATGAAAGTGCTGGACTCCTGCCTGGATGATCACAGTTTGAATCCCAGACTTGGTGGCTCGCTTTCTCATTTTCTCTCTCTCTCTCTCTCTCTGTCTCTCTCTGGTCAAATTTAAAGACTAATAATGATGAATAAAATTAAATAATTCTTAAAAACAAAGTTACTAAATACTGGGGTCAGCTGTGGTGGCAAGCAGTGACTCAGCGTTCTATAAGGCTAAACTCATGTGGAAAGGTCCTGTATTCGTGACCTGAGCACCTTCTGTATACCCCTGGTGTAGGGCTGGCTGCATTTGGGGGTGGATCACAGCCTGAGGATGCTGTTGGGGAGACTGTCGCTCTATCTCTGAAAAAAGAACTTAAAAGAAAAGTTGCTAAATGTCTAAGCAGAAAATTTTCTACCCTATTTACAAGTTATAACTAAGAAGTAAAGTTTATACATCATAAAGTAAACAAAATGTTGAGCGTGTTGGTTTTTCAATATTATTTTAAAAATAAAATATACATTTTAGAGGCCAAATTTACCAGGAAGAAAATTTTCTACATACAAAAAGGGCACCATAAATCTCAAACCAACAGAATAATCTTAAAAATAAAAAGGTTTCCAGGCAGCAGAGGAGGACAAGGAGTCCCCAGATAGATAGGGAGGAAAAGGATGAACTGCTATGGGGAGAATATTTTCTTCAGAAGAATATAGAGCCAAGAGGAGTGAGTCGCTGTAGAAATACAAAGAAAGACCAAGGTAGCTTTCATAGACCTCGATGCCTTTGGGGGAGTTCCTAACTTTATCTCAGAACAATCAGAAGTTACATTCCCAGGAGTCCAACAGGAAACGCATGGCACAATGAACTTGAACAACAGAGGAAAGTTGAACTAGGGACCTGACAAGGTGTGTGGAAGCTGACTCAAGGAAATGAACAAGAAGCAGGGGCAACAGTAACGGAGCCACCATCCCAGCTAGACCAGAAGTGACAAGCTAAGGGAACAGTGACTCGAATTCCAAGAGGTAGCTGTATGGAGAGGAACTCCAAATGGCCTTTCCCAGAAGAGCATAGCCAGCTCCAGGGTGGCAGGATACTGGAATAAGTGTCCTGATTTCACCTTCTTTCCCAAGTCTAATCTCCTGCAGGTCCTTCTCACTGGTAAATGCCATAAGTGAAAATAAAGAGCAAGAGAGCTCCTTAACCTCATCTGTGCAACTCAGTCTTCTGCAGAGTGGGCAGAGAGAATGCAAGGGGAAACAGAAGAGATCTAGCATAGACACTAAGATTTTTAAAAGGGAAGAATCGACCTCACATAACTGTGGAGGAGATTAGAAAGCTGTAAAACTGGAGGCAAGAAGACTAGCCCACAGGGTGGAGAGCAGGTTTATATTACAGAAAATCACTAGTGAGTGTTCATATCCTTTACTGACGACTCAACATCCATCTCCATGAAGATTTACAGGTTCTGTGTAGCCTTATAGCTACATGTTTCTTGTAGCTTGTGAACTAAGTCTATCAAGTAGATTAACGCATTTATATTGAAGTGGATTTCTATCTACACGTAGTCCTCAATCTAACAATCGCACACCACTGCTGCTCCCTTCCCCAATTAAAATCTCTAATGCTGTTGAAATGAGAAGCTTGTTCTCTCTCTCTCTCTCTCTCTCCCTCTCTCTTTCACACACACGTCATGAAGTTTTCAGAGTAGAGAAACAAATTAATATTTTAAAAGCAGCAGTTGTGAGAAGGTTGTGTGCTGCAGATCAAAATAATAACAGTCTCATTTTCAATATTCCATTTGCCTTGGTAATCGTTTTTTACTAATGTGCTTCGGGAAACAGATTTGCAGTTCCCGAATGAGAGCTAAATATTTTTCCTGACACTATGTACTTAAGAGCATTTCGAAACCAAGGATAAAAAAAGCCGTGAATGAGAGGGTTGCACGTTGAGTTGAAATAGCCCAGCCACACTAAAAGATCGAGTACTATTATGGGAGTGGAGTAGCCTAAATAAGGGTCGATCAAAACAGCAAGAAAACAGGGCAACCAGCAAGCTAGAAATACGCCCATCACTATGCCGAGGGTCTTAGCTGCTTTTCTGTCCTTTTTCTTAGATAGGTTTCTTTTCACTTCCCCTTTTGCGTTTTCAGGCATATTGCTGATGACTCGAGCATGTCTTTTGGAAACGATAAATATTTTCCCGTAAATACCAACCATGATGGAGCCTGGAGTAAAGAAACACGTCGTGAACAATATCGTCCCCCAAAATTTGTTGAAAGTAAGTGCACAGAAATTGAAGCAAGCAACTAGAATCTCATAGCTCTGCATACCAGAAACATTGGCCTCAGATAAAACTAAAGCGAAAGAGAAAAGAGCTGGGGCGGACCAGCAAAATGCCAGCAGTCGCTTTATGGCAGAGGCTGTCATTGTGGTAGTGTAATGTAAAGGGTAACACACAGCGTAAAATCGATCGATAGCAATGGAGCAGAGATGGAAAATGGAGGTCAGGCTTAGCATCATGTCAAAGCTTGCGTGGAATTTACAAAAGCCATCCCCAAAATACCAGCAGCTCTCCACTGACCGCACCATGCTGTATGGCATAATGACAAAACCCAGCAGAAAGTCTGTGGTTGCCATGGAGAGGATCAGAAAATTTGTGGGAGAGTGAAGCTGCTTGAAATGTGATATGGAAATCATTATAACCAAGTTTCCAAAGATAGTGATAACCATGGCTCCAGTCATCACCGAATACATTATCACTCGAACATGAAAAGGACGGTTGGTGGGAGGGCATGATTTATTTCCAAACTTTGGACAACTGGATAAGTCTTCAGGAATATAAATCAAATCCATAGTGCTTTATCACTTCAAATGTCTTTCCAGGAGGATGAGTTGATGTTTCTTCTCCTCTTAAATGATCCCAGTAATTTCCGCTCCTAATAGTACAATAAAGTTCAAAGTCATCTGTTATGAATTCACCTCAATGGCAATTTATTAAAATCTTTAAAATCATATCAACTGATCAACTGTGATTGCTTTCTGAGTCATTCATTGCATAAAAAAGTGGATATTTTCAACTGCTTTTTTTCACTGTGTTTTTCTACTTGATCACATTTCATCCATCCATTCATTCATTCGACATGGATTATCTACTGACGGCTCTATTCCTGGTAATGTATTGAAAGGTTTTCAAGAGTTTTTGGCTTTCAACTTGAGCAACTACCTTCTTAGACATTATTTTGAATGACAGGAAGCAAATATCTCTTCCATCACTACTTAATATGCAAAAGCTAAGTAAAATCACAAAATTGCCCCTCATGTATTATTTCAACAATATGAAATCTTCATTTGTAAAATGCCTGCAATGTTAAGAGTTATAACAGGTAGCATATTGCTTTTGAAATTGATAGTAGGGGGACCAGCAGTTAGTGTAATGGTTATGTCGCTGAACTCCCATGTAGCAACCGTGGTTCGCGTCCCGGACCTGGTGGCTTAAAACTCATGCCAGGCGCTTCTGTGTGCATTCCCAAGATCCTGAGAGGAGAATGGAGGAGAAGGGATTGTGGTGTGGCCATCCCCCCTGGGGGTGATTTCTCGTTTCCTATCTCTCTGTCTCTCTCTGTCTGGCAAGCTTTCCACAGGATAAAACCTGTACCTACAGGATAAAACCTGTACCTGGGTCAACACTTTATAGCATCTCCATTCTCTACTTCTATCTCCTTTCTCTGTCCTCTATTCCTGTCCTTTCCTCCTCATCCTCCTTCCCTGTATTTCCTAAGTCTTATCATTTATCTGACATTCTAACGAACAGAGCTACATCATATGCTCCATCTTTGAGTGTCCCATTCGGATTCCAAGTTCCACAGTCACAAACCCAGTCATGTGAACCTCACGTGAATCCTGTTGGTCATAGTGTGTTGAACCAGAGAGGATGGCCAAATTGGAGAAGTCAAACTTTCAATAATTATTGTATCTGCTTTACTATTGACTGAGAAATACAGCACCCTGAAAAACCACTTAGTAGTGGGCTTTAGGGAAGTTTGACTTGACACTGCCCAATTTTAGAACCTGAAATTAACACTTATGATAAAAGCTCCATTATTTTTCTTGCCACAGGTCAGAAAATAGCACCACTATTTTTTGTTCGTTTGTTTGTTTTTTAGGGTTTTAGCCATAGTGTACATGAACTTGCCAGAGAGAGACAGAGATAAGGAAAGTTAGAAATTACCCCCCAAAGGGATGACCATGATGCAATCACTTTTCCATTCTCCTCTCAGGATTTTAGACATGCATGCACACACGCCCAGCGTGATTTTCAAGCTGCTGGATCCAGGATGCGAACTGCAGTCAGCCATGTGGGAATCCAGCGCCTTAACCATCATGCCATCTGCTGTTCCAATAATACCATTCAAAATGTAATCCACTAAAATAATCTTAAGTTACAATTCTTAAATATAAATTCTATTTTAAAAGCCTAGAACCAAATTTCATCCAAAAAGCAAATTTGTGTTTATTTTAAGTTAAACTTTTTAAAATAAAGATAATAGGGTACCAATACAATTTCATAAGTAATTTCATAATTTGGACTAATGAGACCAATGTGTAAATGGGAAATATAAATAAAGGTTTGACATTTATAAAAATTCATGATATTGGATTTTTTTCTGGCTAATTCTCTTTTATCTAACTTAAATCATTATGAAAAATTTTAAGTTTATTTATTTATTTCCAGATGAGGGCACCCTCATGCCATAATATTCATGCCACAATCCATCCCCACTGTTTGCTGGCCCAGATCAGAGCCATGTACACCCAGATGCTCAGAGAGATCTCTGGATACAAACCCAGGACCTTTCCAGTGAGTCTAATTTTATTGCCACTGCTCTACTGCCTGACCAATATAATGAATGTTTAGAGACTGCAATAGCAAAGACTACTTGGGGTCTAATAGTGATAATGAGGAATAGGACATTGCCACACAGTGCTAGAGCCATGTAGCAGGCCTGGGTTCAGACCCTGGGTTTATCTGAGCATGCTAGTGGACATGTCTACATGTGTCTGCACACATCTATGATCCTGGCTGGCTGGGAGCCTGATGATGGAGTGCAGTGTAGCGAGGTCTTGTTGGAGGTACTTCTCTCTCCTCTCTCTCCCTCATGAAAGACAAAAACTAAACTTAAAAAAATAAATAAATAAATAAAACTACTTGGAAGCCATGCCAGTATGGAAAAGCAGTAGACTATATTCAAATGTACCACTGTTTACTAAAATAAAGTATTCCTTTTATAAATCTACTTTATGACTACATACAGTAGTTTATACATATAACATCAAGAGTAAAAACATAGTATATGATATGTGAATGACTTACCTATCCCAAATAGCTCATAATTCATAAGTAAATCTTATGAAAACATATGACAGTTGGCAAGAGGCAAAGATGATATCTTGCAAATATTGTTTCCTTAAAAGCAGGTGGGTGACCCAGCAGCAGTAGTGCAAAGTCCTGCAATGCTGGGAACCACATGGAAGACTTGGGTTTGGTTTCCAGGTCAACCTGTACATTCTGCATGAATTCACCTATGGTGGTCCTGACTGACTGGAAATGACTTGGGTATAAGGAAGGATCACAGAATGACACCCTGTTGGGTGTGTGCTTATCTCTCTCTCTCTCTCTCTCTCTCTATCTATCTCGTAAAGGAAATAAATTAAAAAAAAAAAAAAAAGACAACTGCAGGCCAGTCCTATAGGCTAGCAGTTAACGTTAAGGGAACCAGATCCTGCATAAACAACTGCAGTTAGAAGCCTGGCCCTGGCACCTTGAAAAACAGGACAGGCACATGTGCATGTTTGCCCAGAATCTTGACAGGATGGAAAAAGGGATTGCACTGGAAAGTGCTTTATCTCTCTCTCTCTCTCTCTCTCATATCACTGCCCTCTGGAAACTGTCTCTCTCTCTCTCTCTCTCTCTCTCATATTACTGCCCTCTGGAAACTGAAAAAAAAAATTTAAAAGCAGCTAGAAACTGGGAAAACATTTTAAGTGACAAAAATACACATACAACTTGCAGAACAACTTCCATTTCAGAGAGCAGGGGCGGAAAGGAGAGTGAAAATTACGATCAGAATTTTTGTTACACCTAGCTATAACCACAACATTGTTTGAAAACTAGCAAAAGAGAAAAGTCTACTAAAACTAAGAACTAAGGGTCAGAGAATATGTGAGAGGTGGCAGGGCTAGGGAGTAGCCAAGAGGACTTGATCTAGATAAATCTTTTATCAAGAGTGCATTCACATATTTTATTTAGTGAATGAAAGGGAAAGACATGCTCCAACAGGAATGCGTGGGCACAGTCTTGCATGTTTTAAGGACGTCTTTCCAGTACTTTTTTGCATGGAAACCATGGCTGTAGCTCTCCCCCCTTTACTCTGCAATACTCCAGTCACCTTTATAAAGCCACTGTGGTCTCTACTTTGCCCTGCAAATGCCCACTGTGTGGCTTAGTCAACTCTCTTTGTGCCATAGAATTGTCAGTTTCTTCACTTTCCATTTCACAGTTTGGCACAATTATTTTCTTCCAGAGCCTTTCTTGGAGTTAAAACAATAAAATCATAAGCTATGGGGTGGCCAAAGTTCTCAGGTGTTCCACTGTCTTATCTTACAGCTATGATTTTGCATAGTGTTATTTCCTTCTAGCACATGGTCTATTGTAACTCTAAATTTCTCAAGAACTGAGATAACACCCTGCTAAACCTGCTAATTCTTGCAAAACTTAACATGAACAACAGCATGGCAGGTTATCAGTAAATCGTCAGTTGAGAAAAGTTGATTCCAGCAATGCAGGAAAACCCGGTTAGAAAGCATCTTATCTCATGGTGCTAGAGATATCTGGCTTGAAAAGAATTAAAATGTTAGGAAAATAGCAAATGCTGTTTAAAAAGTAGTTAATAAACCCCTCCCAAAATAAACTGTGGCAAATGAAACCCAGTTAACAATGAAATTCCAGATGTCTTGCAGTGTCTAAGTTACTTGACAAGAATGTTTTCATTATACTCTTCCACGTGTTCCATGTATGTGACATAACTAAGACCAGGAGGTAGTGATTGCTATTGAACTCCAGAGCCAGGATTATAACCCAAACATTCTGGCTCTCATTCAAGAGGGTCTTCACCCACTTCTTACCATCTCTCGTAAGGGCACAAACTCATCAGATCTATAATATTTGGGGAGCAAGAACCACATCTTCAGTTTGGGCACTCTGTGTATCTAAAATGAGAATATAGTTTCAAAGAGCAAAGAGCAACAAAATACCTTAAGTAACTGCTACTTCCAATAGTAAAATTACCAGAAAAAATACAGTGTTTAGCCATCTTGAAAAAGCTCCATTTAGAAGAAGCTCCATTATTTCACTTCTGCCCATAGGCTATGGGGGGTGTGTGGTTAAGTAGCATATAACAAATATTTTTGTTAAGATATACTGCCAAAAAGGAAAGAACCTTTTTTTTTTTAGAGGTTTTTGCTATAGGGTGTGTGCACTCGCCAGAAAGAGAGAGACAGAAACTGAGAAATCACCGCCCAGGAGGGGTGGTCACATTGCAACCCCTTCTCCTCCATTCTCATCTTGGACACGCATGCACATGCGCCCAGCATGAGTTTAAGCCACCGGGTCCGGGACTCAAACCATGATCGACTACATGGGAGTCCAGCAACATAGCCATTATGCTAACTGTTGGTCCCAAGGCAAGAACTTTTTAACATTATTGAAGCACCTTCCATTTAACGAATCATATTTTATACAATTCTTATACTTTACAAAAACATTTTGTGCATACAACTACAAAGAAATTTACAAACATTGCCAAGCAAACTTGGATGGAAAATTAAAGACTTTTTTTTTCTTTACTGAAATATGATAATTATTTTTTAGTTAGGAAAAAATAACTACCTTCTCGGTTGTAACCTATTCATAACGATTTATGATTCTGTATAAGATTTAATCATCAATGTTCAATTATATTGAAGAAGAGAATAAATAAACAATTTTCTTAAAAGATAGTACATTTCCAGTTCTTTTTATTATCCCATTACCTTCCCTCTCCTGAAAACTTAGTTGTGAATCATTGAGTCTCTTTTAGTGGCTTCATAGGTGTGATGTCAGGAAATTCTGGGAGGTTTAGTGTAGATAGTTAAGTTATCTGATTCATATAAGTTTGCCTCTGCTCTCAAGAGAACTAGAGTGGAGAACTCAGGTGCAAGAGCTTCAGAAGAGGCATTAACTGCAGAGCCCCCATGGAATTGCTCTTTTAACTTTCCTTCTCAGGGGGTATTAATATTCTATGTGTTTTTAATGTCCCAGATAGCTTTCAGAGTTTTTTGTTTGCTTTGTACCAAATAAAAGACAATAATTTCATCTTACTTCATGGTCATTTGGGTTTTATTCTTGGAAGACACAGTACCAACTCTTCTGTATGCTAAAAATGCATAGACATAGGGACCAGCAGTTGGCATAATGGCTATGTCTCTGGACTCCCATGTAGTTGACCGCAGTTCGAGTCCCAGACCCGGTGACTTAAACTCACGCCGGGAGTGTGTGCATGTGTGCCCAAGATCCAGAGGGGAGAATGAAGGGGAAGGGATTGCAGCATGGTCATCCCCCCCAGGGGGGTGATTTCTCGCTTCATGTCTCTCTGTCTCTCTGACTTTCTGCAGAGTGCATGCACCCTATAGCAAAAACCTCTCAAAAACAAATGCACAGACATATAAGCTGAATTAAATGCTGGGCTATATTCAACATCAAAATAATTGTCTGCATCATAAAAAGTTTCTATTTACACTTCAAATAAGAAGTGCTCAAATGGAAGGAAAGTATTTACTGTTGTTTCAGTGGCTTGTACTATAATAGTTTGACTAAAACACCTAATTTAAAGAGGGGGGAGAACAGTGTCACTAATCTTAAAAACAAGAACACTGAAGAAAAGGCGAGACAGCTGGGTTCTAGTCCTGGTTCCTTATTGAATTGTATATAATCAAAGCATAAATACACAAACACAACATACAACCCAAATAGGTGTACAGCATTCAGATACGAAGCAAAGGGGAGTGTCCATTCACACACATAGTAGCTTTAAACTGGATATAATCCAGTTTAAATCACTCTTCTCAGGCTGTTTTCTCATCTATAACTTCCTATCAAATTCTAGGTGGGGAGGTAGGTCATTTTATTAACTCTGAGAAATGAAAACAGAATGAATGATGTAGACAGTAAGTACACAGAAGGTTTCTCTATTACACTCACCGGCAAACAAGAATGACACTAAAAAGTACCATGCAGAGACGTGGGGGCCATCACCTATTTTAATGAAAATGTAATAACTGAGCGGAATATTGCAGAGGGGCTATTTGAGTGAGACTAAAAAATGAGTAAGATTCCAGCAAAAAGAGAGACAACAGTCTTAAGACACCTCACGGCTTATAGGGTTCCAAATTTTTATTTCCTCTCTAAGTACAATCATAAACCAAAGCCATCGCAAACATCATCATTCCCTCTGGAACGCTTTCTGTTATCAGTCAGCATTTTTAGATAGTTAAAATCTCAAGGGAGCTTGATTCTGGAAAGTAAATCTTCTACAACAGCCTAACCCAGAAACCTTTCTAAAAATACACTCCCCCAAAGTAATTTTTTCATATGGCCACACACTGACCCTTAGGTTCTGTTCCTGCATCTAACATGACCACAGTAGTCTTGACAACCAAAGTAATGTTCCCTCATCTTTCAAACCGTACAAGAGAACAATGAGATTGAACACATCTGAAGCTGCTATGTGTGTGAATGGACACCCCTTTGCTTCGTATCTGAATGCTGTACATCTATTTGGGTTGTATGTTGTGTTTGTGTATTTATGCTTTGATTCTTAGCAACTTCTCATGTTATGGAATTGATTTACATTAAACACAAACTGTAAATAAAGAGAAATGAATAGCTGAAAAAATTTATATGTCTAGATATTAAGGAAAAATGAATGATTAATTCAAAACACATTTTGGGAGTAGATATTTGACATTTATTAAACATCAGAACATCAAATAGCAGTACAAAATACACATAAGCCTAAGAAAGAAAAGAAGGCACTGAATAAAATTCTACCACTAAAATAGAAAGTTGTCAATTGCTGTGATTAAGACGATACATTCACCACAATTTACCTGGACTCCACGGCCTCAGTTAACAGTTTTTCATTTCTTTTATTTAAAAACATATTTAATCTCACAATTGTAAATGATAGTAAAGGATTAACTCTCAGCTAACAATAAACAATACCTTATAAAGTATGGATTTTTAAAACTGCGATTGTCATATTTACTTACCCGTAATTTTCAGCTATTGATGTTTCAAGATACGTTTGATAAGACACTGAGGGACAAAAATTGAATTGAAATACCACACAAAGTTTGTGTATGTTGAATGAGGTGAGCAGTCCACATGCTTAGCTTGCGTGTTCATCCCTCTTTAAAACAAAACAAAACAAAAAATGATCAGAGGGCATGTGCTCACCAGAGATACAGAAAGAGACAGGCACACACACTTGGTGCATTTTCAAGCATCAGGGACCAGGATTCAAACCACAAGTGGTCACGCGAGATCCAGCTCCCTTAACCACTAGGCTTTGGGACCAGCCTATGATCCCTTTCTAATAGTAGAAACATTTTTGGGTCTTCTCTTTCCCAGCTTTTTTCTTCTTCTTTTTCTTTTTTTACTCAAGTCTTAGAAACCTTAGAAAGCCTTCCATGTAAGCCAAAATAATGCATGTGCACACATACATACTTTAAGAAACTCTATTCTTCTCAGTTCCAGTCCTTTCCGTTTATTTCAGTCATACAGAATAAATCTATTCAGCTTCTTTTTGAGTAAACAAATTGGTACTCTGGAAATGTGAGCTGAAAATTTTACCTAAAAAAATGTACTTCAGTGCTCTGCGAAACCAGGGATAGAAGAAACCATATATTAAGGGATTACATGTGGAGTTAAAATAGCCAAACCATGTCAAGGCATCAAACAGAACCACAGGAGTAGAAAAATTCAAAAAGGGATCTAACAAAATTGTAAAAAAACAGGGAAACCAACATAGTAAGAAAACACCCATCACGATTCCTAAAGTTTTGGCTGCTTTTTTGTCTTTCCGCATTTGATTATTTTGATGTTCTGGCAAGGTATTGATTGCACGAGCATGTTTTCTGGAAACTGCAAAGATTTTGCCATAAATTCCCACCATCATGGACCCAGGAGTGAAGAAACCTGCCATAAACAATGTGGTCCCCCAGAGCTTGTTGAACATCACTGGACAGGAACTGGAACAAGCCACCAAGATATCATAGCCTTCTATGCCATCTGCATAGGCCTCTGAGAAGACGACCCCAAATGCAAATGCCCCAGGGACTGACCAGCAGAGAAGCAGCAACCGTCTAATGACTGAATTTGTCATTTTGGTGGAATAACGTAAAGGGTCACAGATAGCATAAAATCTGTCGATGGCCACTGAGCAAAGATGGAAGATGGACGTGACACTAAGCATCAGATCAAAACTGTAGTGAATCTTACAAAACGTAAGCCCAAAATACCAGCAATTCTCCACAGATCTGATCATACTATACGGCATGATGGTGAACCCCAGGAGAAAATCGGTGACTGCCATAGAGAGGATGAGGAAGTTGGTCGGTGTGTGGAGCTGCTTGAAGTAGGAAATGGAAATTATCATGGCGAGGTTGCCAAACACTGTGATGAATATGGCTCCCGCCATAAAAAAAGACAAGGCGGGGTTCCAAACCACTGTGATGAATAGGCCCCCTGCCATAAATGAGTACATAGCAGTGCGGATACCCAGTGACCTTTCACTTTCTGGGCAAGATCTGTTTCCATACTCAGAGCAGTTGAATGTTTCCTTCAGAAAAGGAAGAACACATGAAATGTTAAGAATATGTATTGCATATTCTGTGTATTATATATGCATTCAAGAAAGACATAGAAGACTCAAGGAAGTTAATTATGCTGAAATATTATTAACAAGATTTCCCACTTAATGTATCCAAACCTTTGTTTGTAATTTCACAGAATTCTAGTCAAGTGCATTATTTACTTTGTATGGTCATTTCAAATTACATCACCAACAGTTCATTAATTTATGCCGAGATCTTATCTTTAAATTAAGAAAGAGGCAGAAATGGAGAAGAGAAAGGAGAAGAAAGGAAGAGGAGGAGTAGGGAGAAGAGGAAGAGGAGAAAGAGAAAAAGCAGAACAAGATTATTATTAAACTAACCACAACTGACCCTCCTTACATGCCTAGGAAAAAGAGACATGACACAATACATGTACTTCTTCAAGTGAGTCTGGAATACATAGTCAGATTTTGATTGGGATCTATTGCCTTGAGGAACAAGGAAGTTATTTTTTGAGAATAGTTTTGTTCATGTGTTCTAGTATATTTTCTGTACTTTGCCTTTTCTCATGCTAAGGTTGTTTCAAGAGAAGACTCACTTAACGATCCCCAGTTATGAGACAGAGGTTGTAATTGTTTTGAGACTTTTTTTTTTTTTTTTGAGAGATTTTCACTGTAGGGCGCGTGCGCTTGCCAGCCAGACAGACAGAGACATAGAGACAGAAAGCAAGAAATCACCCCCCAGGGGGGATGGTCACGCCGCAATCCCTTCTCCTCCATTTTCCTCTCAGGATCTTGGGCATGCACGCAGGCGTGAGTTTTAAGCCACCGGGTCCAGGACACGAACCGCGGTCGACTACGTGGGAGTCCAGCGACATAGCCATTACGCTAACTGCTGGTTCCCGAGACTTTTTTTTTTTTAAGAGAGGTTTTCGCTATAGGGCGCGTGGGCTCGCCAGACAGACAGAGACATAGAGACAGAAAGCGACAAATCACCCCCCCAGGGGGGATGGCCACATCGCAATCCCTTCTCCTCCATTCTCCTCTCGGGATCTTGGGCATGCACGCACACGCGCCCAGCGTGAGTTTTAAGCCACCGGGTCCGGGACATGAACAGCGGTTGACTACGTGGGAGTTCAGCGACATAGCCATTATGCTAACTGCTGGTCCCTGTTTTGAAACTTTTTAAAAGTAAGTCTCAGTAATCTCTAAAATACAATAGAGAAAATAGGGAGTTGAAAAGATAAAGTGAGAGAAGAAATGGTTTCTAGCTTAGTTATTATTCTAAAGGTGATATCCTTAGTCAATAAATAGTTAAAAGAAATTTCCTGGTTTGTTGATAAATTATGGTAGTGATGTTTTTTAAATATTAAAGTAATTTTGTTAGCTACAAGAGAGTGAGTACAGATGTGATATTAGGCACTTTTCCCAGTTGATGCCTAATAGTGTGTCCAAGGCAATTTTATTCTTCTATTTTTTTTAAGAAATTTTTGCTATAGGCTGCATGCACTCACCAGAAAGACAGAGACAGAGAGACAGAAAGCAAGAAATCACCCCCCAGGGGGGATGGCCATGCCGCAATCCCTTCTCCTCCATTTTCCTCTCGGGATCTTGGGCACGCACGCACACGTGCACAGTGTGAGTTTAAACCACAGTCAACAACATGGGAGTCCAGCAACATAGCCATTACACCAACTGCTGGTCCCAATTTTATTCTTATGCTTCGTACTCTGATGTTCTATACCTACCTGTAGATTACTAATGGCTTAAGTGGGTGACGTCCCACATCCTCATGTATTAGCAGTGGAACCAAACATGAAATGAGCCATCTTTCTATCTCTGCGACCTGGATGATTACACACCACAACATAGGAATACTCTTTGACTGTGTCTGAGGTCTCTGCCAAGCCAAACCCTAAATGTTGTTTATAGAAACAACAGATTTAGTTCCTGAAAGATGGTTTTATCCCATCACTTATTTTATTTTATTTATTTTAATTTGACCAGAGGAGGACAGAGTGAGTGAGAGAGAGGAAAGAGAAAGTGAGAAATCAAGCCGCCAGATCCGGGACCCAAACCGTGGTTGGCCATGTGGGAGTCCAATGTCCTTAACCACCATGCCACATGCCAGCCCCCTTATCCCAACATTTCTATAAGTGTACAACTGATTTTCAAGCTATGTTAATTTTTCACCTTCTAGAATAAGGATTTCTAATATGCACAGACCATATCTCTCCTGTTGGTCCTAACATTCTCGAAGGAAAAGAGTAGGAGGAAACAATAGAGGCCAGGAATTCCACCTATGCCCCCAAGCACATACACCCCTTGGTACCAAGTGTTGTATGTGTGATTTGAAACTGGACCCTAATCATCTTTTAAAATTTGTTTATTTATTTATTTATTTCCCTGAGAAAGACAGAAAGATAGGCACTGCTGATCGGGTCCCCATATGCAATCCACTGTCAGTCTCAGCTGCCCAGGATCATGGGCACATCCGCACCTGCCTGACAGCTCAGAGAGGTCCAGGGTTGCCAACTCAGGACCCTTCCCATGTGGGGCCAGTTGTGTTACCACTGCACCATTGCCTAGCCCTTGGTAGCAAAATTTTCAGCTACTCATCATTCCCTGTTAGCTACCTGCTGACCAGTTAAATATCACTGCAGAAGAAAATACTAGGTGGAAGTCGGTATTAAGGGGCGAGGAAGAGGAGATTTTTATCACCTTCAGCACGCTCTTAAAAAGCATGGGTGTGCCAAAGAAAATTTGGTTTGCTTTTAAATCATTTTACTTCTTAGAAAGTAAAGCGCAAAGAAATAGCAATTTTAGTTTAATGAAAACAGTGCACACACATAACACTCTTATGCTGAAGGCAACTCTAGTACATTTTATTATTTAATTGCAAACTTCTTTGTGTTCCTGACCTAGTGGCTTTGATATTATTAATCATTCGACCATCTTCCTTTTTAAGAATCCGTACTAAGCCTCAAATCTTAGGAAACAAAGCTTAACTTCTTTCCTTTTTAACAGTCAAGATTAGCCACATCATTTGATACCTAGGTTTATATTTGCATTCCTCTTACACCTGCCACAGAGCAGGGCGGAGCACATTAAATGACTGTTTAATGAATTCATCAAACAAAACTTTATTCCTATTTGAACATGCTCATTCTCCAAAGCATACTTAGTATATTTCTTGCATGTGACATTTATCATCAGTTTATAACTTTCAAAACCATACTTTACAGATTGCTCATCTTTGGACAGCTAATGTAAAAACAATACATAAAAGCAGTATTTTAAAGGCTATATTTTTCAGAGTCACTTTTTCTATTTTGTAAAACCTGTTATGTAAGTTCATATAGGTACTCACACTGCAACAGAGTTAAAAGGGAAGTCTGACATTTTCTCCACTACTATTATGTTTCTAAAAGAAGCTCAGACAAAAATGAAAGGTTTGGAACGTATATTTAGCTTATGAATAAATAGCATGTCTGAACTTTATTCTACGGAACTCATAAAATTAATGTGTTTGTATTTCCTTGAGAAAGTGATTAAACTGTAGGATAATGACCACAATGATAAAGGATTTTCTGATTTTTCTAATATGATCTCACTTCTTTTAACTTTGTCATTAAATTGGATTAGGGCTTCATAATTAAATATTCATCTGCTTTAATAACCACTTTTGGGACCAGCACGTGGCATAATGGTTACATCGCTGAACTCGCATGTAGTCAACCGCGGTTCAAGTCTTGGATGCAGCAGCTTAAAACTCATGCCAGGAGCATGTGCATGCATGCCCAAGATCCCAGGAGTCGAATGGAAGAGAAGGGATTGTGGTATGGGCATCCCCCAAAGGGGTGATTTCTCACTTTCTGTCTCTCTGCTTCTCTCTGTCTCTCTGGCAAGGGCATACGCTATAACAAAATCTCTCTATAAATAAATAAAAATAATCATTTTTGAGGGAATTTACTATGTCCTTCTTCCTGCTAATCATTTTTCCACTTTTTTATTTCAGACATTTTTGCCTTAGGGTGTGTACACTCACCAGAGAAAGAAAGACAGAGATATGAAAAAGAAAGTGAGAAATCACTCCCCCAAGGGGAGATGGCCACAATGCCTTCTCCTCCATTCTCCTCCTGGGGTCTTGGGCACACATGCACACACACCCAGCAGGAGTTTCAAGCCACCGGCTCTAGGTCTCAAACTGCAGTGGCCCATGTGGGAGTCCAGAGATGTAACCATTACACCATCTGCTGGCACCTATTTCTGCTTTCTTACTTTGCTCTTACCAGACCTATTGATTTCTTTCAGCTTTCCAATTTTTATCAAATATTTAAGGATACTGAACCTTAATCTTCATGTATTAAAATTTCATGTATATTAAATAATACACAGGAACAAACTTAGCATAACATCTCATATAAATAAATATTATGAAAGGCTATTTTTCTTGCGATTTTTCTTCCTTTTTCCCTTCTGCCCTCATTCCCCTCCTCCCTCCCTTCCTACCTTCCTTCATTCCTTCCTTGTAGAAAATAAATACCACATTCAAGAATACATTTGACCAGAAAAGATTTCTTTTAAGAAACAGAAATGAGATTGTGAGTAAAAAAGCCAGGTAACTTAACTTTCCACGTCTCCTAAGTGAACTTCTGTAATAAATACTTTAGTCACTTGTGAAGAGATAACTCTTTCTAGGATTCTAAATATCCTTTCTAGAGATGTGTTGCATTGCCAAAAGGCAGCACACTGCCCTGATCGTACATTCAAGTGGCTGACTTTTGCTACAAATTCATACTCAGTCCTGCACTGTTCCCCACCATGCACCTTCCTACACTACACTTTCTCTCTGAATAACCAAAATACAAAAAGGAAAAAAAAATCAATGCAGCAGAATGCTACTGCATTATTAGGGTGACTATTTACTTCTTCTGAAAACCTGAAGGAAGAGAAAACACAGATCTTTCTTTCCTAATCCTTTTTCCACATACCTGTGGTACTGCAGAAGAGTCCATCAACTCCTTATGGAAGGAACTTTGTTTCTATTCTATCTACATGAAAGTTTATGTGGAACTAGAAAACCTGAACTATATAACCTGTGCTGATTTATATCTTAACGATTAGTCTCAAGAGAATAGGATCTGAAAAGGGGGGGGGGGGGATCTAAAAACACAACCTTGCTATTCTAAAGTTTAACAGCCTAAATGAGCCTAAACCAGTCCTCTATCCCCTCAGGAGTCTCTGTTTACCTAAGTGCTTATCACTTGAGCATAGAAGGATCTAGTACGCTATTACAGAAAGGCTATAAATGCAAATCTGAATGGTTGAGTTATGGGTGGCCCTAGGTAACTTGATCCCAACCACACAAGTCCAAGAGAAAAGTGGGTATATCTCCTTCATCACTTCAGGAAGATCTGAGAGGGCACACTCCATGTCTCGTCTCACACTCCAGTCACTAAGAAGCAGCCTTGCTGTCCTTCACTTTTTCTTTTTCCCTCCATATAACTGTCACTGAAAGAATATATCTCATCAACTCTCTTAGACCTAGAGATAGTAGGAATAGTTATTCTTTCTTTAAATAGCTCACACAATTATTCCAAACTTTTTTTTTTCAGTTGCTACTGGTTTAATTCTATTCATATGGCTGAAGGCTTACTTTTTGTGTTCTTTTAAAAAATGAAAGTTCATTTTGCCCTGATAGGACAGGAGAGATAAGCCATATCCCAGAGGTGTATTAAATATAACACTGTCACTAGAAGGTACTGGAGTCCTGCTTGAATTGAAATTATGGCTACTCTGGGATCTTAGTCCCCTTGAATCAAGGACAGTACATTGGAGTCTAACTCGTGCAGTCAGAAGCAGAGAACCGAGCTTTGATGGACTTATGTTTGCTATAATGCTCTCCTGTTACCCTCATGAAATTCTTAATTTTCTTTTTTTTAACTAGAGGGAATATGTACTCACCAGAGTACAGTGTGTGTAGAGAGGGGAGAGCACCCTCCCCCCCAAGGAATGTTTATGCCATAATCCCTTCTCCTCTATCACTCTCTTCTGAGATTTTGGACATGCACACACATGCACCCATCGTTCTCAAATCACTGGGTCCAGGACTCGAGCCACAGTCAGCCATGTGAATCTAGCCATCTCAACCCCCAGGTCATGGAACCAGTCTCTTCCTAATTTCCAAACAAGGGACTTTGCGTTTTCATTTTGCATGAGGCCTCACCAAATATGTAGCTGATCTTGGCTCAACCTCTTTCACTAATTCTTATTCAAGACAAAGATGAACCAAAAAGCTCTTCCCATTTCAGAGCATATCCATGTCATGTATTATGATATGAGAAACTGTATTTGAAAGTATTCTTAAATCTTTACAAGTGTTAGCATAATTATTTCCCAATATGATAGAACTCAACTTTAATAGTTAATATAAGACATTACTGCTCAAAAGTTGCCAGCAATGTTTTCAAAAGTCTATATATTTTTTTTCTTACAGAGAGAAAAAGAGAAAAAAACACATTCAACAGGTTTCACATGGCAGTCCGTCCCCAACCTCCTGAGCCAGCTAGGAGCACAGGCAGGTGCATACTCAGGTCCCCCAGCAAGTGAACCCCAATCTTCCCCCTGGCTTCAGCAGCATGGAGCAGTGCACCATCACTGTTCTACTGCAGCTGGGCTAGAAGTTGCCAGCATCCTCCACCTCTTCTGGGAAATACTCTCAATCATTTTGGACAAACCTCATTAGTTTTGTAAAGAATGACCTAAGATCCCCAGCAACCCAGGGGCCGGATGTGGCACAGTGGTAAAATGCCGTGCTCTGCAATGCAGACCCACGTGGGAAGGTTACTGATCAGGAGGCCTGCCTGGGTATACTGGGCACACATATGCTCATATTCACATGGCTAAGGCTGGGGGTGAATTGTGGTATTTGGACCTCTCCGGGGTGCTCTCTCCCTTTCTGTCTCTCTCACTCATGGAATAAATAAATAAGCTAAAAAAAAAAAGTCAAAAAATTACTTAAGCATTCTCAATTATAATGTAGATAGAGATGAATACCAGGAAAAGGTCAGAAGTTAAAATATTTATTGTTAAAGGGCTCAGGATTTATAAGGGACAAAGGGACCAAGTTTTCTCTCCTTCCCTTTTTGAGTTCGCTGCAATTAGAATACATAAAAGAGACTGAAATATACCAATTTAGGACAGCTGGAAAGACAGCACATGAGGGCTTTCCCGTGAGGACAGACCAGGATGGAGGGCACACAGAATCAATGGTGCAGAATCGAAACCAAAGCCTGGAGACAATGTATTGTTAGACCGTAGCAAAGTCTTATATACTCGCACACACATACACACACATATATGTTATAAGACAGTCAATTTAATTGAGTGGAGTTGTAATTGAGCAAATCTTAGCACGATTTGAATTGCGGAGGTTTTGTTTGTTTGTTTTTTGAGAGAGGTTTTTTTTGCCATAGGGCATGTGCTCACCAGAAAGACAGAGAGAGACAGAAAGTGAGAAATCATCCCCGGGGGGGATGGCCATACCGCAATCCCTTCTCCTCCACTCGGGATCTTGGGCATGCACGCACACACCCGGCATGAGTTTAAGTCACCAGGTCCAGGACTTGAACCACGGTCGACTACATGGGAGTCCAGGGACATAGCCATTACGCTAATTACTGGTCTCTGAATTGGGGAGTTTGCAGACCAACTTCTAAGCAATTCCGGCTAGCCTTATGGCCAACTCAGTATTTCAAGTTCTGGAAAGGGGAATGAGATATAAAAAAATGAAAGTGAAGGAATGAGGTAGAGAAATAATTGGTTACAGGTCGGTAGTAGACTTCAGAAACAACCTAAGGGGTGGGCTTTCTGTGTCTGACTGAAGTGTAGCTAGTGTGATTGGCTGTAACTTGGCAACCCCTCTGGAAAGCAGCCTAATATGTACAATTTCGGCTTATCCATAGAAATCCAAGCATAGGAGTAGAACGGCTGTTTTAGACCAAAATAGTTTTTGGCTATATAGTCTAGTGTATACTTTTTATTTACATATTTTAAGTTTATATATACAAAGTTTATATGTTCATTTGTTTTTATACATATCTCGTGTGTTTATATATTTAAGTATATTTATTTTTCAATGAGCTAGAGAGAGAAAGGAAAGAGACAGTCACTTCCAACAGGGTCTTCATATTTCGATCTATGCCTTGCTTTAGCCTGTTCTGGATCATGGGCATGCATAGACCTAGTATGTTCAGGGAGGTCTCTGGCCACAAACTTGGAACCTTCCCATGTAGGTCAGCTTCACAGAGCACTTAACATTGCCACTGCACCACTGTCTGGCCCCTATATTTTTTCCTTTACAGGAATGACTACTAATGTTATTTTAGTGGAGTCATTTGTCTTTCTGTGGTTGAGTTGTATATTTTCTTTTTGCAATCTGGATATTAGTTTTGCTTCTTTGCCTATCTGGTAATTCTTGATTGAGTATCAGACACTGTGAATTTACCTTGTTGGATAGTGGATATTTTTTCACTTCTTTAAATATTCTTGAGATTTCTTTTGGGTTATAATTAAGTAACTTGGAAAAACAATCCTTTCTGCTTGCCTTCAAGAGTGGTTAGGAAGTGCAATGGTTTAAATGTGTCCCCTCCAAAACATTCAGATATTGCTCATGTGATAGTGATAAGAGGTTGGGCCTTTAAGGGGCATTTAGGCCCACAAGCGTTTCTTCCTTATGAATGGGATGAAGACTTAGAAAGAGGCTTCCTGCAGTATTTGATTAGCTTGCTTTTCAGCTCTCCCACCATGTTAGGGCACAGCACTCCTTCCCTCTGTAGGATGCAGCCCTCTCCAGACCCTGAACCCACCAGCACCTTTATCTTAAACTTTACAGCCTCCATAGCTATGAGAAAATACATTTGTTCTTTATAAATTACCATGTCTATGCTGTTTTATTATACTGGCACAAACAGATTAGGACAGGCAAGATCGGAGCAGGCTTTAGGAATAACTTGGATTCACTACTTTAAGCAAAAACTTTCTGGGTAATTAACCTGAAGACTAGAGAGCACCCTCTGTGAACTCTGGAGTGCTCTGTGTAGCTTTCTCCTCTCCAGTACTCTGTCCTGTGAAATACAACCGCCTTTACATTCTCGTAGAGACTTCTAAGCTCACTTATATCCATTGACTGCAGCTAACAAACTTCAGATAGTCAGCTGTGGTAATGGATTCACCCATGTGTATCCCTTCTCTCAGAGATTACTGACCTTCACTGCCCGATGTCCAATGTCTAAAGATTGCTGTTTCATACACATAGCCCACTATATTTTTGTTTGTTTGTTTGTTTGTTTTGCGATAGGGTGCATGCGCTCACCAGACAGACAGAGAGAGACAGAGACAGAAAGCGAGAAATCACACCCCCCCCCCCAGGGGAGATGGCCACGCTGCAATCCCTTCTCCTCCATTCTCCTCTCGGGATCTTGGGCATGCACGCCCACGCACCTGGTGTGAGTTTTAAGCCACCAGGTCCGGGACACGAACCGCGGTCGACTACATGGGAGTCCAGCGACATAGCCATTACGCTAACTGCTGGTCCCACATAGCCCACTACTTCAGTTATGTCAGGCCAGAGGGTAAATCTTGTCTTTATTTTTCCATCTTGCCAGGCAGAAGACGTCCACTCAAGTGCCCTTTGGAAGGCAGACATGAAATGAACTTTTTCCTACTACATTCTTCTCACTGGTAAATAGAATTGTGGCTATGTAAAGCTTTTGTGTATCAATATTTCAATTTCTTTTCTTTGGATTTCTGTGTGAGGAGACCCAGTGGACATGGCTGGCTGTGGCAGCAAAAGCTCTTTGACCCCAGTTTCTTGGTCCCAGGTTATGGTCACTGTCATGTGGTGACAAATTCAATAATTTCACTGAGGTATCAGAGGTAGTAGCCCAATGAACCCTATCTCCACTGGGAGTCGATTGTCAAGTCCATTGTCAAACCTGTGTACTAATCACGTTTTTTTATTTTTTTAATTTCTGTATATTACAATGCTCTGGCATTTTGAATACATTGCTACCCAGAAAAAGCCTGCACCTCCAGGACAAGCTGATTCCTAAACACAGCAAATGATTGCCTTGGAGATCATCTATTGCACATAAACCAACAAACCCAAGCCCATATCCACAACCTTTATCTAACTCTTATCTACCAAGTCAGTATTTTTCTCTGCTCTAAGTCACCACAGGACCAGGTTCTGAACAACCAGAGACCACTTGCACTATGCAAATGCTTTTGAAATGGTTCGAAGTAGCCAATTCTGAACTGTTTACCCTGCCATACCTTGCCTTTCCCATGGCAACCACAATAAAGGCTTTTGCTCAAGATTTTCCCTCAAGAAAAAAAAAAAGTCTTTTGAACAAGACTCTAATCCTAAGGACAAGATTTAAGAATAACAGCTCTGTCGTGAATGTAAATGTAATGAACACTGCTCCCTGGGGCCAGAAAGTGGCATAGTGGTTAAGGCACTGGACTCCCACACAGTGAACCATGGTTTGAGTCCTGGACCTGGTGGCTTGAAAATCACTTTGGGCTCACATGCATACATACCCAAAATATCCAGGAGGAAAGTGGAGGAGAAGGGATAGTAAAGTGGTTATTTTCCCTGAGGGTGTGATTTCTCACTTTCCCTATTTCTCTCTGTCTCTGGCAAGCATACATGTCCTATGTCATAAACCTTGAAAGAAAAAAAACAGAAAGGAGAAAGAGAAAAAGAAAGAAAGAGAAAGAAAAGGAAGGCAGACAGGAAGGAAGGAAGGGAAAAAAAAGAAAGAAAGAAAAAGGAGGAAAGAAGGGAGAAGAAAGCAGGAAGAAAGAAAGAAGAAAAGAAAGATCAAAGAAAAAAGGAGATAAAGAAAAAGAAAGAAGATAGAAAAAGAAATAAAGGGAAAGAAGGAAGAGAAAGAAAGAAGAAAGAGAAAGAAAGAAAGAAAGAAAGAAAGAAAGAAAGAAAGAAAGAAAGAAAGAAAGAAAGAAAGAAAGAGAAAGAGAAAAAACTTCAGCTCCCCTCAGGGCCCCACATCTCTACCTACAGACTGGCATCTTCAGATTTGGTGACCACCATTTTTTTCTCTCTTTCATTTTTTTTTTTAAAGAGAAAAAGGAAAGTTTATTGAGAGAAAGAGTGCCCAGGGTTCTGAAGCCACAGATGCTTCAGCCCACTCTATCAAGTAGACTGATGCATTTATATGGGAGGGGAGGAGGGGAGGGCCACAAGAATGGCAGGTACTTTGATTAGCTTACTTGTCACTGTGACCTTATCCGCCCCTCTATGGGTGTCAGCTACCAGTAAGGGAGGGCTCTGACTGGAGGATTCTGGCCAAAGGTCACCTAATTCCAAATTTGTTTAAAGCTTTTGGACCAGCACATGGGATAATGGCTACATTACTGGGCTCCCATGTAGTTGACCACTGTTTGAGTTCAGACCCGGTGGCTTAAACTCATGCTGTCCACATGTACATTCGTGCCCAAGATCCCAAGCGGAGGATAAGATCCCAAGAGGAGAATGGAGGAGAAGGGACTGCACTGTGGCCATCCCTGTCAGGGGGTGATTTTTCGCTTTCTGTCTCTGTCTCCTTGGTGAGTGCACGCGCCCTATAGCAAAAATCTCTCCAAAATAAACAAATAAATAAATAAAGCTTCACAAATATCACAGTGCTGGGCCAGGCCCTTAGCACAGCATAAACCCTGTGCATGGAGAACTGATTCCCATGTGGCTGACTACAGTTTGAATCCAGACCCCAGGAGCTTGAAACACATGCCAACACGTACCCACAGCCCAAACTCTTGATGGGATGTTTTTCTGTTCAACTAAATCCAGCTGTTTCATCTTGCAGTGTGAAACAAGACTCAGAGGTTAAAGAAGGAGTTTATTTCTTTTTTTTTTTTTTTGGAGAGATTTTCACTGTAGGGCGCGTGCGCTCGCCAGACAGACAGAGAGAGACATAGAGACAGAAAACGAGAAATCACCCCCCAGGGGGGATGGTCACGCCGCAATCCCTTCTCCTCCATTCTCCTCTTGGGATCTTGGGCACGCACACACACGCGCCCAGTGTGAGTTTTTTAAGCCACTGAGTCCGGGACACGAACCGCGGTCGACTATGTGGGAGTCCAGCGACATAGCCATTACGCTAACTGCTGGTTCCCAAGAAGGAGTTTATTTCTGTAACTAGTTAGAGGGAGAATCAGCAAGTACCAGCAAACTCTCCAAAAGTTCAACATGTTCTCAGTATTTGTAGATACAGGGTATAAGCACGTGCAAAACATTTCACTACAGTCAGAATCGATCTCCTTCCCCTGAGCAATTATCTTGATTCCTATTTTACTCCAAATAACCATTTTTCATTTTTCATCAGCATTCATCTAATAGAACTCCTCATGACTCAGCACTTCATCAGATTGTTCTTATTAGAAGTTCTTTTTTTTTTTAATGTTTTTGCCATAGTGCACATGTGCTTGCCAGAAAGAAACAAAAACAGTGAAAAGGAAAATGAGAAATCACACCACCACCCCCAAAATTAAAAAAAAAAAAAAAAAAAACAGGTGTGGCCACACACTGCAATCCCTTCTGTTACATTCTCTTCCTGGGATTTTGGGCATGTATGTTCACATGCCTGGAATGAGTCTTAAGCTACCAGATGTGGGACTTGAACTGCCGTTGACCATGTGGGAGTCCAGTGCCTTAACCACTATACCACCTGCTGACCCATAGAGGACTTTCTTAATTTAAAAATGGCTACAGTCCTGCTAAACCTTAAGCTGATTTGCCTTTGCTTTAGTATAAAGATATGGAAGAAAAAGGATTGTGGTATGACCATGCCCTTTTGGGGAAGGAGTGATTTCTCTCTCCCTCTGGTGAGCACACATGCCCTCCAGCAGATAAAAAAAAATTAAATAAGTACAAATATCACATTGCCTTAGAAACTATAGCTTCATACTTATGCTTCTTATGTAATAAAGCAAATCCTTTACCTCTTCCTCGTTTCCCTCCTCCTCGTTTAAGTATCTTGGCTATTTTTTGTCTATTAAACATCTATATTAATTAGCTCTCTAAGTTCCATAAAAAGTACATTGGGGGCAGTCGGACAGTGTGGTGGTTAAGGTGACTAAATCCCACATGTCCGACTATGTAGCTTGAATTCTGGATCAGGTCAGGCTCATATGTTTACATGCCCATAATCCCAAGAGAAGAATGGAGGAAAAGGGATTGCCATCCCAGTGGGGAGTGCTTTCTCATTTTCCTTCTCCCTCTCTCTCTCTCTCTCTTCTCTCTCTCTCGCAAGCGCATGTATCCTATAGCAAATTTAAAAATAACAACATGAAAAAAACTGCACTGAAATTTGGGCAGATAGCATTAATACCTCATAAAATAACGTTAATACCTCCATAAACTTGGATTGGCTCCACATTTATTTGTGGTTTTTTATTTGTTTTGGACAGAGATTTTTGCTTTTAGGGCATGTGTGCTCACCAGAGAGAGAGAGACAGACAGAGAGAAAGAAAGAGAGAAATCACTTTGAAGTTTGGGGGGATGGCCTTGCTATAGTCCCTTCTCCTCCATTCTCTTGTGATTTGGGGCATGCATTCACACATGTCTAGCATGATTTCAAGTTGCTGGGTCTGGGACTCCAATGCCAGTCAGCCACGTGGGAGTTCAACATCTTAACCACTACGCCACCTGCTGGCTGGCCCCACTTGGTCTTCTTTAATGTTCTTCAGTAAATTATCTCATAAATAGTCCTTGCACATATTATATTTTAGTATTTTTATCCTAGATACCTCATAATTTTTATTTTTGTATTTTTAAAATTATTTTCTGTTTATGTATTACTGATACAGATGTTCAATTGGGTTTTTAAAAATGCATTTTATTGTGTGTATTTGAGGTTTACAACTTGAGGTTATGAGATACATATAGGTAGTAAAATGGTTATAAGAGAGAAACAAATTAACATATGTTTATCTCAAATAGTTGGTTTTTCATATGACAAGAGCAGCTAACACTTATTTAACAAAAATATTTAATACAATAAAATCATATTAACTTTCATTCCGTCATTCATTAGATCTCTAGATTTCTCTGTCCTACATGTTTGCTATTTTGTACCCTCTCACTTACACCTCTCAATTTCCTCCCTTCCCTTCCCAACCTGCTAACTGCTGTTTCTTCCTCTGTATTTGTGCATCTGAGCTCTTTCTTCAAAACGAGGTCTATATACAAGTGAGATGATGCAGTTTTTCTTTCTGTGTCCGGCTTACTCCACTTGGTACAATGTCCACCAAAGTCATCCATGCTGTGGAAAATGTCAGGCTCTCCTTTTTTTTTTTTTTTTTAAGAAGTTTTTGCTATAGGGTACGTGTGCTTGCCAGAAAGACAGAGAGAGACAGAGAGACAGAAAGCAAGAAATCACCCCCAGTGGGGTGGCCATGCCACAATCCCTTCTTCTCTATTCTCCTCTCAGGATCTTGGGCACACACGCACATGCGCCCAGCCTGAGTTTAAGCCACCCACTGGGTCCAGGACTCAAATTGCAGTCAACTACATAGGAGTCCAGCAACATAACCATTATGCCAACTGCTGGTCCCCAGACTCTACTTCTTTAAGGCAGAATAATATTCCATTGTATATATACAACAGTCCCCAACTATATGATGGTTCAACTTAGAACTTTTTGACATGGTGATGATGTGAAAGCAAAATGCATTCAGTAGAAACCATACTTCAAGTGCCTAAACAGCCATTCTGTTTTCACTTTCAGTACAGTAGTCAATGAATTCCATGAGAATTCAACACTTTATTAAAAAATAAGCATTGCCCTCTGTTTTTCTTAGTCCCTGGTAAGTGCACACAACCTATAGCAAAAAAACCTCTCCCTCAGGGGGGAAAAAAAAAAAAGACATTGCATTAGATCGTTTCATCTATTTTAGGCTAATGTAAGTGTTATGAAAGTGTTTAAGATAGGCTTGGCTAACCTATGATGTTTGGTAAGTTAGGTGTATTAAGTGCATTTTCTACTTAATGATATTGTTAATTTACATTGGGCTTATTGGAAGACAAAACCATTTTGTGTGTGTGTGTGTGTGTGTGTGTGTGTGTGTGTGTGTATTATCAACAGATAATTTTCCATTTTTGTGTTCATTAAATGTTTTGCTTCTTTCTTTTTCCCCTTGATACTTCCTTCTGCACTGTCTCCAGTATAATCATCAATCTGCATGCTTTTATACTTTTGAATATTTCAGTTTCTTCCATAGAGTGCTGACATTTGGTACATATTGAGTGGGGACATAAAATGCCTCTCTTTCATAGCCAGGCTTGCTTTGCTTAGCAGTAAATCTTCCTTATTTGTCCACTTCCTATAAAATGCAGGGTCTCATTTTTTATGACTGAATAGTATTCCATAGTGTGCATGTGCCACATTTTTTCAATCCATTCATCTGTCCATAGACATTTGGGTTGGATCCATGTCTTAGCAATTGTGAATAATGCTACAATAAACATGAATGTGCAAGTGTTTTTCTGACTAAGCATTTTCCTATTCTTTGAGTAGATACCCAGTAGTGGAATTGCTGAATCACATGGTAGTTCTATTTGTAGGTCTTTGACAGGCCTCCATATTGTTCTTCACAGTGACTGTACTAATTTACATTCCCACCAATAGTGTAGGAGAGTTCCCTTTTCACCAAAGCCTAGTCAGCACTTATTCTTTAGTTCTTTGGTCTTAGGGTTAAATGGTACATAATAAACCCCATATTGCCAAAGCAGTTCTGCACAAGAAGAGTGAAATAGGGCGCATCTCTCTCCTTGACCCCCAAAGTATCTTACAAAACTGTGATAATCAAAACAGCATGATACTGGCACAATAACTATTATGTGGACCAATGAAACAGAATAGAGAACCCAAAAATAAACCCCAAAATATACAATCAACTTATTTGTGACAAAAACGAGTCAATTCAGTGGGGAAAAAAAAAAATCTCTTTAGCAAATGGTGCTGGAAAACCTGGGTATCCACCTTCAGAAAGATGAAACTGGACCTCTACCTCTCACCTTTAACAAAAGTCAACTCAAAATGGACAAAGATCTAAACCTAAGACCTCAAACTATAAAACTTCTGGTGGAAAACATAGGAGAAATTCTTGGAGACATTAGAGTAGGCAAAGCCTTCTTAAATAAGATCCCCAAAGCACAGGCAATAATCCCAAAAATACACAAATAGGATTACATCAGATTAAAAATCTTCTGCATGGTGAAATAAACAATAATTAGAGTAAATTGACAGCCATCAGAATGGGAGAATGAAATTGCAAACTATGCATGAGATAAGGGACAAATAACCAGAATATACAGGGAACACATACAGCTTACTGAAAAAAAAAAAAAAAGATCAACCTAATTAAAAGATGGACCTATGAATAATGAATAGACAACTCGCCTCTTTTCTCCTTTTTTCTTTTTTCTTTTTTTTTTTTTTTTTTTTTGTTGGAGAGATTTTCACTGTAGGGCACGTGCGCTCGCCAGACAGACAGAGAGAGACATAGAGACAGAAAGCGAGAAATCACCCCCCAGGGGGGATGGTCACGCCGCAATCCCTTCTCCTCCATTCTCCTCTCGGGATCTTGGGCACGCACGCGCACGCGCCCAGCGTGAGTTTTAAGCCTCCGGGTCCGGGACATGAACCGCGGTCGACTATGTGGGAGTCCAGCGACATAGCCATTACGCTAACTGCTGGTTCCTGATTTTATGTTTTGACATGAGATCATCACTTAATTTATCACAATATCAAAATAAGAGAGAACAATCACTTGATTATGTCAATAGATACATGGTAAAATTTTTGAATTTATGAATTTTGAAAGCTCTCTTAGCAAACTAGAGAAAAAACAAAACAAAACAAAACACAGTTTCCTTAACCTGATTAAGACTCTGTAAATAAATAAAAAGCATTC